CTGCCTGCCTGGGGGCCTGTGGGAACCCAAGTGAGGATTCCAGGAATTTTCTCCTCCTCTTTCCTCAAGTGGGTCTGTGGCTGCCCTTCGCTCACGGATGAGTTGGGTTCTGAAGTTTGGTAAATAAGTTGTTTGGAATATAGTTTTTCATGGGAAGGACAATAATAATAATAATGGCTAGTGTTTATTCAGCTCTGGCCCAGTGCTAGATGTTTTGCTCATAAGCCCACTTGCTGAGTTCTTGCTTCATCTTCCTTTACAACACTAGGAGGCAAGTTTGATTATGTCCTATTTTCTTTTTTAGCAGATGAGGGCACAGAGAAGTTAAGCCACTTGACCCATATCACATAACTCGTTGCGGTTGGGCCACATGCATATCTGTCTGGCTTCAAAGCTTGTGTCCAAGCCTGGAAGCCAGCAGTGGGCAGGGATGAGAGCTGGACCTGGGGCCCATGGGCGAGGGTTACAGGTTGGATTTGGAGGAGCATCAAGAGTTTTGGAAAGAGGTGGAGGATTGTGCAAGCTGGAGTGTCCCAACGTGAACTGTGAGTCAGGACTGAGGCTCCTGTGAATCTAGCCCCGTGCTCAGGGCCGTCCTGCAGCATCGCACTGAGCACCCGCCACAATCCTGTGAGTCTGAGACTGTCTTCTCTCCATTGGACGGATGAAGAAGCCGAGGCTCCAGGAGGTGAAGGGAGGTGAAGGTAGCAAAATCATGTTTCAAACCTAGTGTTGCAGACTCCAGAGGCCATGCCAACACAGCTGTTAGTAAGTACTCACCAAGTGCCAGTTCCTTTCCAGGTACTATTTCTGATCCTTCTATAAGCCTTCCAGCCTGTTGTTATTTGTCTGCTTTTTCACATGCAACCACAGGCTCACAGAGGTTCAGTCCCCTCCCTGACGGCACTAGCTCGTGAATGGGAGGGTCAGGATTTGAACTCTAGGCCTGCCTGAGTCCACAGCATGTATTCTCTCCTCTCTGCCTGCTCCCCAATGGCTCATGGGCCGGGGACTGCCTGTTTCCCCCACCAGCCCTGCCCTCAGCGGGCATGCGGTCTAGGGGGAGAGACAGCGTCCCCTACACAGCAGCCCCATCACAGCCCCGCAGGGAGCAGGCGCTGGGTGTGAGGCACAAGAGCCCCCATGGCAGCAGTGCTCAGAGAAGCTTCTGGAAGACTGGACAGGGAGCGGGAGAGTCCTGGTGAGCAAGGAGAAGGCAGGGGCCAGGGCTTGGTCGGAACAGGGACAGGAAGCTGAAGCTGCAGGGACTCGGGGAAGAGTGGTGGGAGAAAAGCCAGGAGCAGAGGTCGGGCCCAGTTGTGGAGGGTCCTAGTATCAGGACAGGAAGTTGTCCTTTATCTGGTTTTTAGGGGAGGCCAGTGAAGGGTTGTCACTCAAAAGGGGTTATTTAGAGAAATGTGGTGGTGTGTGCAAGGGGGTTGGAAGGCAGAGGGGCTGGGAGCAGGGAGCCTTCTGGGGAAGCTGTTTGGTGATAGGGGCTGGCCTGGGTTAGGGCATTGGGAGGAGAGTGAAAGATTATGAAGGAAGATCCTGACGAGGCCTAGCGACTGGCCGTGAAGGGGTAAGGAAGGGTCTGCAAAGGGTCTCCAAACGGAGTTTCCCTGCCTCTGCAACTCGCTGGCTCTGTGACTTTGGGTAACTTCCCTAACCTCTCTGGGCCTGTTTTCTCATTTGTAAACTGAAGGGGTTAGAAGAGAAGCAGGCAGTGAAGGGACAATTTTCAAGTGTTCACTCTGTGCTAGGGGCTGTGTTATATGTTCTTTGAGGTTCTTTCCAGCTCTTGGACTGTGCCACTGGCAGAAATAAGGAACCAGGCAGGGTTAAATAACACTCATTGTGACACTTTAAAATTTAAAAAAGACCTCAAACCCAAGTTTTTGGAAACTTGGGTTCACATCTGGGTTCTGCCACTTCCTAGCTGGGAGTGGCCTCGAGCACGTCACTTCACCTCACTGAAAAGTCTCCTTAACTGTGACCTAGAGGTGGTAATGATAACCTTACCTCCTGGGATGTTCTCAGGGTTCAAGAAGATAATATATGCAACGTGCTCAGCATATAGTAGGTGCTCAGTGTTTCCTCTTCCTCGCCTCTTCCTTTCTTTCTCTTTATAATTCTTTGTGCTTCTTCAGCATTTACTTTGTGCCACTTAACGTATATTAACTCATTTAACCCTCACAACAACCCTATGATGTTATTGTTATTATCCACATTTCAGTGATCAAGGAAACAGAGGCACAGAGAGATTATCTGTTACTTTAGCAAGTCTGGCAAAACCAGGTTTCGGAGTGTGTCCACTGACCTCACACCCCCTGCCCTTTACCCTGCTGCTGGTTTTAAAGAAGAAACGTTCGGGTGCTGAGCTCCATTTTAAACACATGGTGGTTGGGGTGATGGTGAACAGCCTAGCAAGAGTCTGTTTGGTAACTGGAATGTGAGACCCAAGTCCGTTTGCTTCATTGATGCATGCCAGGCACCTAGAATAGTGCCTGGCCCCTGGTAGGCAGTCCGTAAGTTATTTTCGAGGCACGTGGCCAAACTGGAGATGCTGTCTGGGGAGTGCATTCAGTAGAAGCAACAGCTGGGAACATTGCTAAGGGCTGGGGATCACAAGCAGCCTCATGGGACTGTCAGAATTCTGTCAGGAAGGAGCCACTGCTTTGGGGACTTTGGTCCTTTGAGGCCTGGGGGACCAAGAGGCTCAGTGGGTAGAATTGTGGGCTTTTGCATGTGGCAGACCTGGGTTCGGATTCCTGTTCACCCGCATCTGAGCTTCATGACCTCGGACAAGTTACTTAAACCTCTTTTTGTTAAGTTTTCACTGAAGAATAATGGGCTTACAAGATGTGTACAAATCATAAGTGTTCTGTTTGTTGAGTGTTCACAAACCGAACACACACATATAATCAGCACCCAGATCAAGAAACACTATATGAGCAGTGTCACAGGACCCTCCCCCCCACCCTTGTACATGTCAGGTCTGTTTCTGGATTCTCTTTTCTGTTCCATTGATCAGCATTTCTACCTTTGCACCCAAACCAGGCCTTCTTAAGTAATAGAGCTTTATCATTAGTCTTGAGATCTAGTCATATAAGTCCTTTAGCTTTTTTCCTTCAAGAATGCCTTGGCTATTCATGGCTCTTTGCATTTCTGTATAAATTTTATTTTATTATTATTATTTTTTTAAGATTTTATTTATTTATTTGACAGAGACACAGAAAGGGAACACAAGCAGGGGGAGTGGGAGAGGGAGAAGCAGGCTTCCCGCTGAGCATGGAGCCCGATGCGGGGCTCGATCCCAGGACCCTGGGATCATGACCTGAGCTGAAGGCAGGCGCCTAACGACTGAGCCACCCAGGTTCCCCTCTGTATAAATTTTAGATTGAATTTGTCAATTTCATCTCCCCCAAAAAACATACTGGGATTTTTTTTTTTTTTTTTTAAGATTTTATTATTTGACACAGAGAGACACAGCGAGAGAGGGAACACAAGCCAGGGCAGAGGGAGAGGGAGAAGCAGGCTTCCCACGGAGCAGGGAGCCCAATGCGGGGCTCGATCCCAGGACCCTGGGATCATGACCTGAGCCGAAGGCAGAGGCTTAACGACTGAGCCACCCAGGCAGCCCATACTGGGATTTTTGACTTGAATTATGTTGATGTACAGATTGATTTAGGGAGAATAAATCTAATTCTAATGCTGAGGTTCTTTGTTTTTGTTTTTGTTTTTAAAGATTTTATTTATTTATTTAAGAGAGAGAGAGAATGAGAGACAGAGAGCACAAGAGGGAAGAGGATCAGAGGGAGAAGCAGACCCCCTGCCGAGCAGGGAGCCTGACGTGGGACTCGATCCCGGGACTCCAGGATCATGACCTGAGCTGAAGACAGTTGCTTAACCAACTGAGCCAGCCAGGCGCCCCTAATGCTGAATCTTTTAATCCATGAGTACAATATATTTCTGTATTTCTTTTCCACTTAAAATTTCTATTATGAAAAATTTCAAATATACAGAAAAGTGGGAAAATACAATGAATTTCTACGTGTCACTAAATAGTTGTTATTAGTGTCTCTTATTTATATCTTATATACTTATGATTTCTTTCTTTTATCTTTAATTTTTTAAAAGATTTTATTTTTAAGGAATCTCTACACCCAACATGGGGCTAGAACTCACAATCCCAAGATCAAGAGTCACATGCCCTTCTGACTGAGCCAGCCAGACACCCCTATGCTTATAATTTGTAAACCATTTCATCGTAAATTACAGACATTATAGACACTTTATCCATAAATACTTCAACATGTGTCTCCAAAATCTAAAGACAGCCTCCTGCATGACCACAATTCCATTATTACAGCTAGGAAAATTAATAGCTCCCAAATTTCTAACCTATATTCCTTTTTCCCCAGTTCCCCGCCAAATGTCTTTCTTGTTGCTGTGTTTTGTTTTGCTTTTCAAGACGGGATCCAATCTAAGATCATGCATTGCATTTGTTCGTGTCTCTTAATTTAGAGCCATCTCCTTCTCTTTGTAAGTGACATTGATTTTGTTAGAGATCAGGCCAGTGGTCTTGTAGGCGTCCCACATTCTGGATCTGATTGCTTTCTCATAGTGTTGTTTACTTTGTCCTTCCATCTCCTGAACCTCCTGGAAACTGGAACTTAGTTCGGGCTTGACTAGATTCCCATAAACCTCCCTAAGTCTTCCCAGGGTCTCCTTCTCAAAGTTGTATACGGCCAGCGGTGCGTGAGCCGGTGTGTAAAGCTTTATCACAGGGCTTGGCACACGGCAAGTTTCGGTAGGCTGTAGCAGATCTTCATAGTTGTCCCCGCCTTGGGCCTGCATTTTATCCCAGTGGCGTGTTCCCAGGAAGCGGTTTCCTGAAGGCTTCTCTTGTCCCTGCTAGGGAGCAATGGCTTCTCCCCAGCCGGGGCTCTTGGCTCCGGGCTCGAAGATCCCCCATCTCCCTCTCCTCCCGCCCTCAGATAACACAGGCAGTTCCACATACCGGCCACCCCCTCGGACCCGGGAGGTGATGATCAACGGGCAGATGGTCAAGTTGAAGTACTGCTTCACCTGCAAGATGTTTCGGCCACCACGGACGTCACACTGCAGTGTCTGTGACAACTGTGTGGGTAAGTGGGAGGCAGCAGGGAGTGATGCAAGGAGCCCTGGAGACAGGAGAGTCACTCATGGGGGTGAGGCTGTGTCTGAATCAGCCAGAGCTGGGCAGGAAGTCTGCTTCACCCAAATTTGCTCAGACCAAGGAGGGGCTATAGGGAGAGGCGCAGAGTGTGACCAGTGGTATCTTGGCTTCAGCCCAGGATTGGTAGATTCTTTTCCCCCAGCTCTGAAGTATGGGGCAGACACAGAGAGGCCCTGGACCCTTCTTCCAGGCCTCAGCCTGGTTCTCAGTAGGTCCAACCTTCCAGGAACCAGAGACTGGAGCAATAACATTCTAGATACTTTGGGGCCAGAAAGAGAATGATTTATCATCCAGTGGCCCAGGGCCAGCTATACTGAATGACTTTGGATCTGATTCCCAGGGTTTGGGAGGGACAAGTATCTGGGAACAGAGGAGTTCAAGCTGGTAAGGTGGAGAGGATGTAGCCAAGATTGGAAGCTAAGCTCCTGACCCACAATTGCAGTGGTTGCTGGGGAACCAGAGACTGTTTTGTCTCCTCTTCTTGCTCACCAGAGGCCAGACAGCCCTGATGGGGACTGGGGGTGTGCCCCTGGGAGGGTGTCATAAGGGAAATGCTATGTAAGAGGACCCAGGCAAGCTGAGCCATGGTGACTGTATGGTTCCCAGGCAGTGAGCTCATCACACTAGCTCAGCGCTCCCTGAGTGAGAGAACAGCAGGGAACACCCATGACAGTAGGCAGGGAAGTGGGTGACTCAGTGAGTGTTATTCATCCCTGAGGACCCCCCCCCCACCTCCCCCGTGAAGAGTGCTGGCCATGGTGTGAGGCCTGCAATGGGCTTGTGATCCATATTCTCACAGGGGACTTTCCTTACCAGTCTGGGTGTGATCCAGGCCTTTCATGCCAGCTCTCCGCAAGTGACAGAGCAGCCCAGCCCCTCCCTGGGCCTCTATTTCTAGAGCAAGGAATGGGGATCCTTGGTGGTTGGCATGTGGCCAGGGTCATAGGCCAGGCAACAAGTACTTTTTTGTGGATCTTTGTACCAGGCACTGCTGGACCCTAGGGTTCAGCTCAGTGTGAGGCCAAAACAGACCCCCTCATGGAGTTTACAACTGAGCAGGGGTCCTTGGCCAGGCCACTAGTTACAAATAAGTATGTAAACACATGGGCCAAGCGCTGCAGATAAGGAACGGGGCGGATAACAGAGGGCCCTCACCTTGTCTGGGATCAGAGACTTTCTTAAGGAAGTGGCTTTGCAGCTGAGTCATGAAGGGGGAATTACCCTTAACCAGGTGAAGAGACAGCGAATGTGGGGCAGTAGGAACCTGCGCACAAAGGTCCAGAAGCAGGGAGCGTCCGAGGAACGGTGGGTGGGTGCGTGCAGAGAGCCTGGTGGGGAGGAAAGCCCCAGCCGTGGCGTGAGGCCTCTGAACACCTGTGGTGGTCGCAGGCCAGGGACACTAACCCGTCTCCCCTGGCCCTTTTCCAGAACGGTTTGACCATCACTGTCCTTGGGTGGGCAACTGTGTGGGGAGACGGAACTACCGCTTCTTCTACGCATTTATTCTCTCCCTCTCGTTCCTGACGACCTTCATCTTCGCCTGTGTGGTCACCCACCTGACGCTGCGTGAGTTGGGGTAGGGGGCAGGGGCAAGCGGGATGGGGGGCCAGCAAGCTCAAGTCAGGGGGCTGTGGTCACTCTCTGAGCTGTGCCCGGTCCTGTTTTTTCTTGCCCAGGCTCTCAGGGAAGCGACTTCCTCTCCACTCTGAAGGAGACACCAGCAAGATATCCTTTGTGATCTGGTGGATGCCCTGGTGGGAGCAAGGCCCCTTCACTGGGGTGGGTTCCCACGCCTCCTATAAACAGAGGGGAATGGTGTAGAGCCAGTGTTTGTCCTCAAGAATAATCCGTTGTACCAGCTGCTTCTGTTCCTGCCCGGGCTAGAACTGATCCTAAGTGGCCTGAGCAGGGGGCTGGGGTGTCCAAGAACTCTCAGGAGTCCCACAGTCCCTGTCTTCCCTTAAGACACCAAGCTTCCTGGACCATGTCCTATATGGGGTTCTGGGTGCCTGGAATCCTCATTTCCCTCTACTGTCCATTACCCATCCTGCTCTTGAAGGGGCTCCCAAGCCCTCCTTAGGGCCCAGAAGGTGATCCTGCTGAGAAGTGGTGAGTGGGCCACAGGAAGGTTACAAACTCCCTTCCTTTCTGAGGAAATAGCTCATGGAAGGATAGGTGAGAAAGGCAGAGCGTGGCAAGCTCCCAAGCTCAAGGGAGGCTCCCGGCCCTGTCCCCGTGTGCATCCTTGACCACCGTGCTCACTGTGCTGGAGTTGGTGATCTGCTTCTTCTCCATCTGGTCCATCCTGGGCCTCTCAGGGTTTCATACTTACCTCGTCGCCTCCAACTTGACAACTAACGAAGACGTGAGTAAGGCTGGATCCTGGGCAGGGTCCTGGGAAGGAGGCAGGGCTGAGGGAGCCTGGAGCGGCCACGGTGCAGCCTGACTCTCGGCTGCTGGGGTGACATGGGTGGAGACACTGCCTTCCAGCTCTCACGGCTTGGCCCCAGGAGACCCAATGCAGGCTTCGAAGACCCCGTGTGCCTGGGCCGCCCGGCACGGCTTTCCCGCTAACCGAGAGGCAGCGCTGCACCGTAAGCCATTATGTTAGCCCGCGTGTGCCTGTTTCCAGAGTTCTTTTGGGGTCCTTTTGCCAACTCTGAAGCAGAAGGAAAAGGGATGCTTTTCTCCCGTTTGGTGGCTGAGTGAGCCCCAAGGTCACACAGCTGGAAAGGGACAGAGCCAGGGCTGGGGCCGGAAGCCACGGCTCAGCTTCCTGTGCCCCCCACCACACCGCACTCGGAGACTGTCAGGGTGTCCCTGGGCTCCCTTACCGAGGGGGACAGCGAGGACAGGACCGCGAGGCCGTCTTGCGGCCCTCCACCAGCAAGCATTGTTTGAGCACCCCCTGTGTGCCCAGCCCGTGGGCCAGACCTGACGTCCCCTTCCTGTTCTCGCAAACAGTAAGGAAGCACATGAGAGCACCTGCGCCTCGGCTGCCATCACGTATGCTCAGAGGCCCATGACCAACAGAAAACACATTTTTTGACCTCAGCCTCTCATTCCGGGAAACAAAACTTAGCACTCATGTTGGGGTATCATGTGCCGGATGATTGGTACAGAGCAGAAATGACATCAGCCAGCATCTCCCAAGGCGGTTTCGTGGGTGCTAGTTCTTCAGCATGTTACTGGGGGTTAGGTAAAAAGATGTGTGGTGGCCAAGTAAGTTTGGAAAACTCTGGGCTAGAGTCAGGCAGGTGTCCTTCCTTGCTAGACTCCCCGGTGCCTTTGATCTGGCTTCACAGATCTAGAGATGGGCAGGATCTCATCGAATGCCCCACTGATGGTGTCAGAGTTCCCTGTTTTTCAAATGAGGACTGAGATTCAGAGAAGTGGCCTCTCCAGGGTCATCAGTGTGTCGGTGGCAGGGCCAGGGTTCACAGCCAGGTCAGCCTGAGCCCCGTCCCCTTGCACGACCTTCACTCGTAGGTGGCTGGCCAGAGAAGAGAGGATGCACCCAAAAGGTTGCCTTTGGAGGCTTCTCTGGCTGGGCTCTATTCTCTGTCCTGATGAGGGCTTCTTCCTCTCTGCCAGGTCCCCCCAGATCCAGCAGTCCCCCACACTCACTGAATAGCCCGGGTTAAAGACACATCCCCTCCAATAGTCTATCCAGAATTGGTTTCAGAATTCACCAGTTTTTCCTAACCTCTAGACCTCCCTCCTAAAAAATGGAAGCAAGGGAGGTACCTGACTCAGACTTCCTTCCTGCTGGCAGATCAAAGGCTCGTGGTCCAGCAAGAGGGGCGGTGAGGCCTCCATCAATCCCTACAGCCATAGAAGTGTTATCACCAACTGCTGTGCTGTGCTCTGCGGCCCCCTACCTCCCAGGTAAGCCAGGGGTAGCGGGGAGAGGTCCCAGGGCCTGGCCTGGCCAGTGCAGGGCAGCCCTGTGAGTCCACACCTCTCAAAGAGGTTCTGGAAGCAGCAGACCTCTCCTCACAGCATGGAAACCCTCTGCCCACCATCCCCTGCAGAGTGTACTCAAGGCATTTGTCACATAAAAGAATTCTGTGTAATTAATAACATATGCTCATTGTAGAAAAAAATGAAGTACAAAATATTAAGAAGAGTATTAGATATCATCTGTAATCTTGTTCGCCAGGGATCACCACAGTTAATGTTTTGGCCACGCTTGAGCAACTCTCACCTTCCGGTGCTGATGGCCTCGTCGGGTGGGGGGACTCCATCCTCCCTCCTGGCGGGAGAGCCCTGGTGGCTCAGAGCTGCTGGGAAGTGCCCCTCTGTCTGCACACCAGGGGGCGCCAGAGCGCCAGAACAGCTGTTAAATTGCAGTGGACGCTGCGGGAACAAGACTTCGCACACTGTCCACCCCCACCCCACCAGCTTCTCCTGCCTGATATGCCCGTCATGCTTGCCGTGGGGGTGGGGGTGGGTGACAGTGGGCATCGCACTAGTTCCAAATGCCCTTTCGTCCTGCTCTTCCCCTTCCCCGCAGCCTGGCTCTGTGGCAGCCAGACAGCAAAATGGGCTGCTTTGAATTAACAGGGAATAATAAATCCGGTGGCCAAAACCAGGTGTCCAGAGTGCAGAGCGGGCCCTTCTGGAAGGGAAGGGTCTTGAGCCCCCAACTGGAGATCAACTCCCCTTTCTCAGGGTTTCTAGGACTAGGTCTTTCCTTGCCTGGGAAATGGCCTGTGCCATTCGGCCCCCTGGCCTGGATCACTGGTGTCGGGCAGGGGCCCTCACATGTCCCCTCTTGTGTTTTGGAAGCCTGATTGACCGAAGGGGATTTGTGCAGTCTGACACCGTGTTGCCCTCACCCGTCAGAAGCGATGAGCCAACCTGCGGAGCCAAGCCCGACGCCAGCATGGTAGGAGGCCACCCCTGAACTGGGCTCAGTACTTGCTACCTGCTGGCCTGTCCACCCCTCTGCACTCACCTGCCGCCCTCCACACCTGCCGGGACCCTCCCCATTCCACCCACGGGAAGCAGAGCCGCCAAAGACTCTTTCGTATTTATTTCCCACCCTGCGTGGCTTTCCCCACACCTCCATGGCTGTACCCTCTGCTCCCCAAACCCAAGTTCCCACAGCCTTGGGCCCTACATCCCCCCAGCTGATCAGTGGCAGGAGTGACAGGAGAGAGAGGCCAGGGCCCCCGAGGCCGCGAGGGGGCCATGCCACGTCTCTGCCTGTGCCAGGGCAAGCCCTGTGTGAGTGAGGGTGCTGACTGAGTGCGATGCCTCCCAGGTAGGGGAGCTGCTGGGCTCTGCTCAGCCCGGGTCCTGGCGGTGAAGCAGGACCCACGAGCATTCGGCTCTGGACAGCAGGCTATAGGAGAGGATGCCTCCTCCGTGGGCTGCTTTGGTTTGTGGGCTCCTTCATTCTCTTTGTGATGATCATTGTTCTTCCATTTTTGTTCTTGTTTTTTTATATGGGGTTGGCCAGTGGGATAGAGCTGGGGTTCCAGATAGAAAGGGCAGAGGTGGGGGCGGGTGGGGGACAGCCTGTGTCAGAGGAAGCTACCCAAGGCCTCAGCTCCTGCATGATTCCTGGGTAGCACACTAGGAAGTGGGGGCCTTGCCCCCTCGCTATCCATGGAGGGTTCTCTGAGGGATCCCGGTCTGGCGCCCCACCTCTCTCCCAAGTCCGTTCTTGGGCTGGGCGGGTTACACTCATGCTGGCAATACTTGAAACGGGTTTATTAATGCTGGGTATTTTGCACAATTTTATAGACCTCTTTTCTACATAGCATTTTTTAAATGGAAGAAGAAAAAAAAAAGTCAGCCACATTGCTCTCTGTGTAGTGCCAGGTTAAGGATTATCAGAAGGCAAGTTGGTTTTAATAAATTTCTAAGAGAACTTCTGGCGGGAGTGTGTGTGAGTGTGTGTGTGTGTGTGTGTTCGCATGTGCCCTCGTGCGAATGAGGCTGGCTCCCACTTCCCTACACCCCCTGGGCTGCCCCTCTCCCCGCCATCCCCCTCGGGTGTCAGTGAGCCGCAACAGGAGCAGCCTGAGCTGTGGCCACAGGGAGCCCGTGCTTGGATCACAAGAGACCCCTGGGTTGTCGCTGCAGCTCAGCCCCCGTCCTCCTGCCCTTCCTTCCTCCTCGGACATTAGGAAGCCTGGGACCTGCCCAGACAGGCTGAGGCTGGGCGGGGCTGATGGGGTAATGGCTGGGGGGAGCGGCTGCCATTCTACAAGCCACACTCCCTCCTCTGGGCTCTGAGTATGCGACCTAGTGCCAGTGGCTAGAGGACGGGGAGTCTCTGCCCACTGGAAGACTCCGTCCAGAGAAAAGGGAGGAAAGAGCAGGGTGGTCCAAGAGGCGAGGGAAGGTCGGCCTAAATCTGGGCCAGAAACTCAAAGGATGTCCCTTCTCTGCTGGAAACTATAGCTTCTTGTCAAAATAGGAAATTGTTCTGTCCCCCTCCTTGGCCCTTCAGGTGGCCTGAAGCCCTGGGAAAGTGACGAGGAAGTCCTCGCATCTTGCCCTTCCTTGCTGCAGAGGCTAGTGGGTCAGAGGCAGCTGAGAAATGGCAGTCCCAGAGGGTCCCCTCTGGGAGAAGCAGCTCTGCCCTAGTGTCAGGACCCTGGGCCATGCTACAGCGGTGCTGGGAAGTGGGGAGGGAGCTGGATAGAGGAGGGGACTCCCACCTGCCTTTTATTTAAGCCAGTATTCTTTGTTCCTGCTTGTAATAAAATTTTTGTTTTTAAGACTTGATTTGCTTTGGTTTGGTTTTTGTTTGCTCTTTCTTTGCTGAGGCTCCAACTGGCAGCCCTCTGTTCTTTCAGCCAAACTTGGTCTTTCCTGGGGAGGCAGAAGGCAGGAAGCCCAGTGATATGGTTAACGTTCTCCTCTCCTGGCTGAGTCTGTCTGCTGGAGGCCGAGCAAGGGGGCGAGGCCCCCATGAGCATGTAAGAAGAGGCCATCCTGTCCCCTCTTTGTCCCCTCTACTTTCCCCTGCCTCGGGGATTTAGAGACTCCCAAGTTCTTTCTCCTTGCTATGTTTCCACTCTGACGCCCCAGGGACTGCCCAGCTAAGAGAAGGTTTCTGAGACAGTAGATTCCAGTTTGTAAGCCGGAGCCTCCCTGGCCCCCAGCCCCACCTGGGCAGCAGGGCCCAGCCAGACAACTCATAACACTGGCCCGCCTCTCTGGTATCTCCCCCAGGAGGACACCTGTCAGGATTTTGCCATCTCCTGCACAGCCTGAGGGGAGCTAACAGGCCTCTTTGCAGAGGGTTAGCTGGTAAGACCGTACCTCCCCTGTCAGCCAGCACTGCCCGCCCCCCTCACACACCATCTCATCCTCATCGCATGCCTTGCCAACCCCATGGAGCCCGTTCATCTGTCTGGTGTGTGGTGTGGTGTGCGTGCTGGCGGTGGTAGGGCCGCCAGGGCTTCCCCCCCAAACAGAAGGATCGGGGCGGGAGGGCAGGGCTAAGAGCCCAGCCCTGCTCTGGACTGAGGAAGTAGCTTCACGCAGAGCAGCTCTCCCACTGGAGCGGGAAGTGAAGGGCGAGGTTGGGGAGAGGGGGGCGTACCTGCTCTGAGCGGCTTGGGCCTGTTCTGCTGGTGGCCTGGTGTGCAGGAGCCCTCAGTCACCAACACTTGGGTCCTGGCTTTCTGTCCCTGCTGAGCTCTCACCCGCCCGTTTTCTCTCCTGCTTTGTTGCCTGCCGCCCAAGCCTTGGCCCTTCTGTGGGGAAGAGGCAGGTGCTGGGGCAGCCCCTGTCCCCACCAGCGCCCCTGCAGGCCTCCTGTCTCCTCCCAATCCTGCTAACCCTGTCTCTTCTCCTTCTTTGCCATCCTGCTGGGATCTCCAGTGTGTGCGGGGGCTTAAGGACCTCCTGAGGACCGCTGCTCTCTGCCTCTCCAGGAGTGGCCTGAGGGGCGCCAGGCACCCGTCACCTCCACCTGCCTAACCTGTGGCCCATCTGCCACCGTCTGTGCCTACAGGGTCTGCCCCCAAGCCTGCCCCCCACGTGTGCTCTCCAGAGCCCTCCACAGGGGGCAGGGGCTGGCCTCTTGCCCCCATCCCCACTCCATGCCAGCCAGAGTGTAGAAAGCCATAATGCAGCTGTCAGCACAATGATATAATACTATGCTGACACTTGCCCCCTTTTCCACTTCCCGTCCCCTTCCCCAGATCCGTAAGGTGTCAAGACTCTGCAGGAATCTGGCCTTACAGCCTGCCCCCTCCCAGCATCAGGCATAGCCGTAGTGGAGCTGAGCAGGTTTCTTCAGGAGCCTCTAGGGTGTTGGTGGTTGATGACGCTGCTGAACAAGTTTGGTGACTGTTCTAAGCACAACCGGTTTGACACTGTTCCCACGGCCCCTCGGTCCCCACTACCCCAAGTAGGTAAGATGCAAGGACGATGCTTGAGCCCTTTGCCCCAGGCACTGAGGGACTGAGCTAGCTCTGACAGCCCTTCAGACAAAAGGAAACTGGGCTGGGCCTAGGAAATCGGCTGAGTCCACGGCCGGGGGCTGCTTGTCTGCTGTCCTGTACCTTTTTTAACAGAAATAAAGATTTCCCTCTTCTTGCCATATCCTTGGCTGTCTGGTGCCACCTTTAGTTGGGGTCCAGGGGTGAGGCCTGTGATGAGTGTGCAGAACATCCAGCTTACCCTCACCGCCAGCTTTGTTCTAGTTGGTCAGCACCGTTCCGGAGACTTAAAGATTTATTTATTGAGTGAGTGGCGGGGTGGCAGGGGAGGCGGAGGGAGAGGATCTTAAAGCAGACTCCCTGCTGAGCGCAGAGCCCGATGCAGGGCTCTGATCCATGAGATCATGACCTGAGCCACAACCAAGAGTCCGTCGCTTAACCGACTGAGCCACCCAGGCGCCCCTGTTCTGGAGATTTAAAAGAAGAGGCGCAGTGAAGCCAGAAGTGACACCGGAAGTGTAGCCAGTGTCCTCTTCTAGAACTGGTCTTAGTGCTAGAGACCTTCAAGCCTTAGCTGACCTCAACTCTGAAAGTCCCACCAAGATGGGACTGTCACCCCTTGAACTGAACACAGTCCAGGTTAACAATCTCATGGACCCTTCCCTCCCCCCAGCTGCTGCCCCACACTGAGATACACACACGGTATGCTAAGAGCTCACAAATAATTATGGCAGCCATTTAGCAAGCGCTAGCTGAGAGCCAGGCCCATTTTCTCACCTAAACCTATGAGAAAGGTGATGTCAGCTTTTTTACAGATGAGGGAACAGTTGCGCAGGGTCTCCCAACTGATAAAGCAGCAAATCTAGGATTTGAACCCAATCTCTGCCATAACCTCTGACCCTTCTGCACTACCCAAGGAATGAATAGGGCTGCTTCAGGAGGAGGGGACCTCAGAGGGAAAACCCAGCTAGAGGCTGTTATTCACAGCCATCAGAGGGCTTAGAGGTGATCTGTGCTGGCCTCCTTGTACTGATGGGGAAACTGAGGCTCAGAGGCAGGAAGGGACCCTCCCTTTCCCCTGAAAGCCCTTAAAACAGATTTGGGATGCAGTCCCTAGGCTGACATTCCAATCTCTTTCCACTAACTGCACACTGTATCCTAGACTGGACTGGTCTAGGAGATGTGGGATACTCTAAACAACAGTGCCTTGAGGAGAAAAAGACAGGATAGCTGAGTCACTTAAAAGTAATCTAATATTCCCTCCCAAAGGCAACTAGTAGGGTGAGCCCTTGGCTGGATAACTGAACTCTTGTTTACAACTAACCAGGGGGAGAGGTGTCATACCTTCCTCCAGTCACCTGTTTAATTTGATCATTCCAAGACTGGAAAAAATTTCATAGGAAGTTCTTCCTGGATTCTAATCACTCCCTCCTGCTATATTCAGAGTCCTGTCTTCTGTTCTCAGTGCAGATAGATAGCAACAACTGGTGGCTGCCTTCTCTGTCACAAGCCTGTGATTACCAGCTAAGGATTGGCTGCCTCTTGAACCTGCTGGCGGGATGGATGCTATATGGAAGACAGCAGGCAGGAGGAGGAAAGCCCCCTTGGCCGCAGTCCCGGCTCCTGTCCTGCTGACTCAGGCGACTGACGGTGGGACTCCGTGCCCTGCCAGGGCCTGCCGCCTCCTGCCTGCCTGGGCTCCTGGACTTGGGAAACGGAGGCCTGGAGGCAAAGGGAGGTGTCTGAGACAGGAACTGAGTCAGGATCGACAGGCTAGAGCAGGCAGGGTAGCCTGGCTCCCAGAGTCACCCCTAAGCTTCAGCAGGGGAAGGGGAGGAGTGAAGAGGCTTCCTTTCGCCCTTCTCTCTTCTGGCTGTGCTGAGGGTATGGAGCTTGTGGTCTCCACCACCAGGTCTCCTGGCTTAAGTGATAGGAAGAGAATGCTGCCTTCCTAGAAACAGAGCACCTCCAAAATTCCTAGGCCTGCCAGGCCCTGCCTTCCAGGTTTCTGGTGCTCTGGGATCTCCAGCTTCCCCCCAGGACTTGGGAAAGCCTGAGCTGGATGGCTAGTATAAAGGAAGGTCCCTGAGGGCCTCGGGCCCGCGTAGGCCAGAGGAATGTCAGCTGGAGAGGGAGGAGACAGTGCTGAGTGAGCACATCTGACCATTCATCTGTCTTCCCTCTCTTAGGGACACTCAACAGGGCAGGGTCCAGTCCTTGGCTGAGGCTTGGTTTGGGACCCTTTGTCATTTCACAGAACCCAGCTCCATGTTAGTGCTTTGAGTGTATGTGATTATAATAATAAGATTGGTTGGATTGTTTCATGTGATAATAAAAGTCACCATTCACTCTAGTAAGGGCTTTTCCATCAACTCATTTAATCTTCACAATAAGTCCCATTTTACACTTAGGAAGACAGAGGCTCACAGAGGTTAAGTCACTTGGCCAAGGCTGTACAGCTTCTAAAAATTAAACCCAGGCAGTCTGATTCCAAAGATTCTAGGCTATTCTATCTCTTACAGAAAAATAATACATATCTACCATTGAACAAAATAAGAAAATCAAAAGGAAAAAAATCACTCGGAATCCCACTAACTAAAGATACACTCTATTAAATTAGTATTTTAATGTATTTCCTTTCCATCATTTTCTGTGTCGGTGATCCCATCTGAGCAAAGCCTTAGAGATGTCAAGCCTAAAATCCCTTCTGCTTCCTTGGAAACCCTGTAGTATCTGCCCAGGCATGCTCCTACATTTCCTTCGAAGAGGCAGATCTCATCTTTGGGCCTCAGAGTTCTGGCCTAAGCCTCCCTCCAGGAGGGGAGGTGGGTATTCAGGCACCAACCAAGAGGAACCAGGGAGGGACAGCCCTGTGAGATGGCCCTGGCGCAAAGATTAAGCTGGCTGGATCCCAGTGAGGGGAGCCCCACCCCTGAGCCCCATCTGAGCTTTCACTAGGGGTGGGGCAGATAAGCAGGAACCCACCCTCACGGGCATGGTGCCAACACCTTCAGGTGAAACTCCTGGCTGAATGAGAACAGCATCCCAGCAAACAGGGACAGAAGGCTGGCAAGAGAGAAGTCTCCCATCTCTGAGGCCTCTGCCAGGGGTCAGAGGGAGGGCCATAGTCAAAGGGAAGGGACAGAGAAATTTCTGAGAGGCAGGCTGGGGGAGGCAGCACTCACCTGGGACTGCTACCCCATAAAACAAAATAGTATATGTCACCACCTTCTTCTTTATCTCGGTCCTGTCTCTTTCCCCAGGTGCTAGCGTCCCCCCCGGGGAACCAAATTGGGCTGAGCACCCAAGTGGCCTGCTTCCCAGCCTTTGACAGAGGGCAGGCTGAGTCAGGCAGGAAAGCTGGGCCCCCACCCTGTGGGAGCCCCACTGATACATGATGGCAGGCGGCTCGGAGTGGGTAGATGACCTGGCGTGGAGAGCCAGAGGGCAGGTCCTCAAACAAGTGGCAACAGGCCACCAACTTGAAAGGGAAAATTGTGCTGTGATGGGGAAGGTGTCCAACAAACCTACTGGGTGACTAATTACAAAGGCTGGGCTGGAGCGTCAGGGGCCGCTCGTTAAACACCTCATTAAGTGGCACCCTGAGCAATGCCACCTGTGCATTCTGGGAACTCAGAGGGAACCCTGAGGGGGAGTGATGACCAGGGGATAGAAACATTTCAGGTAGACTCCTGAAGAAGCCTGGATCTCACTTCTAAATACAGCCCGGAGCTCACAAGTCAGAGGCCTTGACAAGAGGAGCCAGAGGAAGTGGGATGCAGGGGACTTAGTAGCTGTGTGACCCTGAGCACATCTCATCCCTTGGCATTCCCATCTCTAAAGTGGGAGTAATAGTCACAGTCTGGCCCATCTCACAGAGACATAGGAGGGATTAAATTCAATCATGGATGTGAAGGTGCTCGGGAAACTACAGCCCTACCTAAACATAATGATCTCACCTGAACCACGGTGGGAAATGTATGTGGTAGGATTAAGAACCCCATCCTCCTGGGTGCACCTGTCTTCATGGGCCTCTAGCTAGGCTGAAGCAGCCAGTTGGTTGAATCCATCCTTGGCCCCTGGAAGAACACCAGGAAGGGGGATGTGATTTGAGAAACCGGGGCAGCTATGTGGGCATTCACGTATTCGAATCCCTGAACAAGAGGGGGCAGCCTGGAGCCCGGAAAGGTGTCTGCAGGTGGGGCCAACACCGGGCCGGATTTCTCCTGCTGACTGCCCTGATGACTCACCCCATATCCCAGCCTTTTACCTTGAAGGAAGGGCCGGAAAGGGTGTGGGGAGAAGAGGAGAGGGAGGCAGGTCCTGGGCCCCAGCCCCGCCCTCTGTCCCTCCCCACCCTTCTCTGGGGCCAGGCCATCCAGCCAAAAGGCAGGCCGAGAGCCGGAGAGGCACAGAAGCCGGCACTGGTTTCAAGGCAGCCAGCTAGCCCGCCGCCTGTCTGTCTGTCACCAGAGCCATGGAGAGAGCCAGTCTGATCCAGAAGGCCAAGTTGGCAGAGCAGGCTGAACGCTATGAGGACATGGCAGCCTTCATGAAGAGCGCCGTGGAAAAGGGTGAGGAGCTGTCCTGCGAAGAGCGGAACTTGCTCTCAGTGGCCTACAAGAACGTGGTGGGTGGCCAGAGGGCTGCCTGGAGGGTCCTGTCCAGTATCGAGCAGAAGAGCAATGAGGAGAGCTCGGAAGAGAAGGGCCCCGAGGTGCGAGAGTACCGGGAGAAGGTGGAGACCGAGCTCCGGGGCGTGTGTGACACGGTGCTGGGCCTGCTGGACACCCACCTCATCAAGGAGGCCGGTGATGCCGAAAGTCAGGTCTTCTACCTGAAAATGAAGGGCGACTACTACCGCTACCTGGCTGAGGTGGCCACTGGTGACGACAAGAAGCGCATCATTGACTCAGCCAGGTCGGCCTACCAGGAGGCCATGGACATCAGCAAGAAGGAGATGCCACCCACCAACCCCATCCGCCTGGGCCTGGCCCTGAACTTTTCTGTCTTCCACTACGAGATCGCCAACAGCCCCGAGGAGGCCATCTCACTGGCCAAGACCACCTTCGACGAGGCCATGGCGGACCTGCACACCCTCAGCGAGGACTCCTACAAAGACAGCACCCTCATCATGCAGCTGCTGCGAGACAACCTGACGCTGTGGACCGCCGACAGCGCCGGGGAAGAGGCCGGCGAGGCTCCCGAGGAGCCCCAGAGCTGAGCCGCGGCCGCCCCCTCCCTGCCGCGCCAGGCCCTCTCCAGCACCCCGCCCGTGGCAGAGAGGACTAGATGGGGTGGGAGCCCCGACCCTTCTCCCCCAACGCTCTGCCCCCCGCTCACAAAAGCTCCGAGGAGAGGGACCAGCAGAGCCAGGGGGGCCGGCTCTTCCTGCAGCTGCCGGCGCCCTCACCGGTGGTCAGCCCCCCACCCCTGCTCTCTGCACCCCTCCTCCAAACCCCACCGCCAACCGGGCCACCTCCAACCCCTCTTGCCTCCCTCCCGCCCCCGTGTGCCCCTGAATCTTAGGAATTGAGGAGTGTCCCACCCTTGCGGCTGAGAGCGGGACTGTGTGGCAGAGTCTGGAAATGAGTGTGTGAGAGACTGAGAGCGAGTGAGAGCGAGTGAGAGCGAGCGCGGAGGACCCAGGATGACAGGGAATGCGTGTCTGCTGGCTGTGACCCTGTTTCCTCTCAATAAAGTTCCCCTGTGACACTCCTCCTGTCTCTTCCGGTTATTGGTGGACGGATGGGACAGGGATTGGCTTATGATTTGGAGACCTTGACTTCTTCTGATTTAGGACCCTGGCCTCTCAAGGGGCTGGCCCAGGGACGCACAGGCAAGACTTTGGAGCCAGTGACTCCAGGTGAGAGGCTGCGGGGCGCGGGTCCAGCTCTCCATCAGGGTGGCCCCCAACAAACTCGTCTGGGCCCGGGAGCGTCCGGAGAGCGCAAAGGCGGCTCCGAGGCTGCTCGGAAGGGGGAGGGCGAGGCTGAAGAACTCAGATCTGAGGGGACAGGAAAGCAGGGAGTCTCAGGTGTGAGGTCCGAGGTCCGCGCTGCAAGGACAGGTTGTAGCGAGCGGCAGGGAGCATGCCAGCTCTGAAAGCGAGGAAGAGCCCCATCAAGTGCTCAAATCTGAGAGGAGGCGAGCGCAATCTGACAGGGGCACGCCGCCGCCATTAAAAGCCCACAGCTGAGGAGAGGGGAACGCCCCCGCCCCCCGCGTTCGGACATGGGGACGAAATGAAATGGGCAGGCGAGGAGAAGCCCCGAGCTGGGTGGGAAGGGCCGCGGGGAGCGGAGACACGCCCAGGCCAGCCCAGCTCGCAGCCTCCGCCGCCGGCTCCGACACGCCGGGACCTGCGGCCGCCTCGCTCGCTCCCGCCTTCACAGCCCGCGGCTGGAGGCGGGCCCGAGGCCGATGCCGTCCAATCTCGGGAGAGAGCTGCTCAGGGTACCGCCCCCGGAGCCCGACGGGCCAATAGGGGAGAGCGCGGCGGAACGCGCGCGGGGCGTCTTCCTTCCACCCTCCCGGCCCCGCCGGCGTCGCGACGCGCAGCCCGAGTGAGGGCTTCCCCCGCGCCGCCCGCCAAGCGCCAGGGGCAGCGCTTTCCCGGTTTCACTCAGACGGGTTGCCACTCGCCCAGCCCGAGAGCTCCGCATCCTCGGAGCAGCGGGACGGGGCGGGGCCGCGCGGCAAAAGGAGTCCCCGCCCTTTGAGTCATCTGCTCTGCGGGCGTGGCCCGGCCCGGCCAGGCGGGCAGGGTCCGCTGCCCGGCCACCAAGGCGTCCCCACTGCCCTCCAGGATCCAGGCAGCCCTGAACCGATGGGCTTGGATTGTGTCCCCGACGGGCTGTGAGACCTTGGAAAAGCCATTATGCTTCCCTGGGTCTCAGTTTCCCTTTCAGTATCAAAGGGTTTGGACGAAAATCTGACAAAAACCGTGGTGTCAGAACTGCCTGGGTTTGAACCCCAGCCCTCCGTGGCCAAGGCTCTTAATTTTGCTTTTCGTTTGTGCCCTCGCTTTTCGTTTGTAAAGTGGGCATTAAAAAACTGTACCTTAAGAGTTGCTATGAAGTTTGAGAAAATAAATGCTTGTAAAGTAGTCCTAGTGCATGTTTAATACATGTTAGCTATTATTAAACCTTCCAGCATCAATAGTCTAGGATTTATCCGTTTCTGTGACAATTGTCAGGCCCGGTCCCCAGGAGTAGCTTTATTGCCAAAGCTGACCTGCATGCTTACTGGGCCACCTGAGGATACTGTCCGGACATCAAGTGGTCACTCCTCTACCTGGCAAGATGGGGGGAACTCAGTTCAGCCTCATCAGGTTCCCCAGAGTTCAAGTTTGGTCACACCCATGGGACTGGAAATTGAAGGGCACTTATCAGAGCTACTAATTCTACAGGGGAAGCTGGCAGGACCACTCTGCTGCCTTCTGAGTCCCCGGTTTTCTCCTCTCCTTTCCTGGAAGGGTGTTGGTTTTCAAGGTTCTAAAGCAGGCAGAAACTCTGGGCTAGGGTAAGTGACTCTCCCTCAGCTCTGGAAGTGACCCAGTTTCTCTTACCAGACAGGTCTGGTGACTTTCTCTTAATGGGATAGGTCCTGGGAAAGGAACTTCTTTCTTTTCTCTCAGTCTCTGACTTTTGTCTACCCTACACCACTCATGGTTGCCCTATATGGGGAAAGAAATGAGCTACCCTAAGGTAATGTGTTGGCGTTGACAGATTTCAAAAGCGGATGCTGTGGATTGGAATATCACCGAATCAGATGGCTAGGTGTGAGCCGGCTTAGGCTCCAGCTTCTGACCATGAAAGTCCCAGACCTTTTTGTTTATGACATAATCTCTAAAACTTTCTTACCAGGGTGGAGTCTCGATGAGCATCTCTTGCCATCTCTCCCTGACCTAAATTTGACATTTAACATTTTTCAGTCCTACTGTTAATGGGTACGGAATTTCTTTTGGGGTGATGCAATGTTCCAGACTCAAATAGTGTTGATATTGGGGCACTTGGCTGGCTCATTCCGAAGAGTATGCAACTCTTGATCTCGGAGTTGTGAGTTCGAGCCCCACATGGTGTGTAGAGATTACTTAAATAAATAATAAATAAAAACTTAAAAAAAACCCAAAGTGTTGATATTTGCACAACTTTGTGAATATACTAAAAACCACTAAACTACTCTTGAGGAGGATGAATTTTTTTTAATTCAATTTAGTTAACATATACTGTATTATTAGTTTTAGGGGTAGAATTTAGTGATTCATCAGTTGCTTATAACACTCAGTGCTCATTACATCAAGTGCCCTCCTTCATGCTCATCGCCCAATTACCCCATCCCCTCATCCACCTCCCCCCTCCAGCAACCCTCAGTTGGTTTCCTATAGTTAAGAGTCTTTTATGGTTTGCTTCCCTCTCTCTTTTTATATTATTTTTTTTCTTCCCTTCCCCTATGTTCATCTGTTTCTTAAATTTTACATATGAATGAAATCATATAGTATTTGTCTTTTGAGAAGGATGAATTTTATGGCATGTGCATTTTATCTCAGTTTAAGTGTTTTCTCCCCAGTTTTCCAAATTTAAAAGCCCATCTTCAGGTCAGAACATGACTACCTGCCTCCCCTCTCCCTTTAACATGTATAGAGCTTTGGTATGCTATCCTACCAACTCCTTTCATTTATATAGGGACATTTATTCAGTTATGATTTAAAATCAACTTGACTCTACCTCTGGGTTTGCACCTATGTCCTGGGTCTATTTCTTATCTCTTCAGACAGCTTCCGAAAAATGGTAACTTTATCTCATTATTTTTCCTTTCTTCCTACAGTGACTTCAGCAAGATTTTTGTCCAGGACAGTGCTCAGAATGGTTTTATTTATTTATTAAAAAATTGGGGGGGGGCACCTGGGTGGCTCAGTCGTTAAGCGTCTGCCTTCGGCTCAGGTCACGATCTCAAGGTCCTGGGATCGAGCCCCGCATCGGGCTCCCTGCTCAGCGGGAAGCCTGCTTCTCCCTCTCCCACTCCCCCTGCTTGTGTTCCCTCTCTCGCTATGTCTCTGTCAAATAAAGAAATAAAATCTTTAAAAAAAAATTTTGTTGTTGTTGTCGTCTTTTAAGTAATCTCTACACCCAACGTGTGTAGAACTTACAACTTGAAATCAAGAGTCGCATGCTCTACTGACTGAGCCAGCCAGACGCCCCTCAGAACTTAGTTTTAAACCCATGCTCCCAAATGCCTGGAAACCAAGGTTGGTGCCAGGCCTATTGTAGAAATGGAAATACAGCTGGTTCTGGGATGAGGCAGGGCTGTCTAGACAGAGATCAGGCTCACAAAGATTCAATGACCCCAGCCCTATCCTTCCTGTACTGTCAGAGTACACCCCCCCACCCCAGAAAATGGAGGCTAAGGGCTTGCAAAGATCTTCCTCTCCCAAGAATTTGAGGGGTATGGGAAAAATCTACAACCTAAAATTTTCTCAAGAAGGTAGCTACTCTTCTCACATATGTAGTTACTTCACAGAGCAAAATGCAAATTGGCTGTGTAGATCCGCAGGAGTAGGAGATAAAGAGCAGGGCTTTGAACTAACCAGGCACCCTAGGGAGGCCAAGTCACTGGGGTCAGGCAGGCCAATGTGGCTCCTTCCAGAAAGGCAAGATACTCCTACACACACATGTCCAGTGTCCAAATGTCCAGTGCCTTTTTGGATGCTTGCACCAAGATTGCCCATCTGACCAACAGTGCCCCACTTTTTCTTCCTAGAGAACAGAGTACAGTAATAATAGCAGTTGGCATGAATGCCATGTGCCAGCCACTTGCATACCTTGGTCCTCACAGCAATCCATATCATCTTTGTTTTGCCTATGAAGAGACTGAGGCTCAGAGCAGCTAAATAACCTAATAATCAAGGTTATACAATTACTTATGTGTCTGGGGAGTGGAACGGGTCTAACTCCAAGGCCCATGATTTTTAAACTACAACAGCTATTTCCAAATTGTGTTCAGAGGGTTCCCCATAAACTGCCACAGGGCAGGAGCCCAGCAGTCTGGGTTTCCCCTGTTCCCACACACGTCAGCTAAAATAGCCACACATATGTCTGTTTTGTATACTGGAGTTTCATGAGTTAAAAATAAGTTTGAAAAGAACCGCATGACGTTATGCTGCCCTGCTTGTATCTTGGACTTTCTAAGAATCAAGACAGACTTCATCTAATGCCACCCCAGGACCCGGCAGAAAGGAATGGTCTTCAATGAGAAAAGACCATGTAGTGGGCCAATTTCCTGGCATTTTGACCAAGTTAAACTTTCCTTACCCTGCTTACATCCTTTGTTCCTTTTCAATTCTTCACCCTGTTCACAGGGCGTTCCCCCCACCCCCTATCCTTGCTGTGGGGGAGGTGGGGGTAGGGAGGCAGGTTTCTGGAGGGTAGGTGCTGCTCCTCTCAGAAGCCCCCTAGCCCCACCTACCCACTGAGTCAAGAGCCAGGAATGTCTGTGGGGGCAGCAGACAGGTATGTCACCCTGGGGGTGTCAGAGGCTGATTCATCTCTCATCTCCACCCAATCTTCTTACTGCTCTCTGGGAAATTTAACTCATTATCTGTCTAGAGATAAAAGAGGAAATTCCAGACTCTGAAAAGCATGGAGCCTCCAATCTGTGGCTAGGTATAATATTGAATACATCAGATTATGGCATTCAAGCTGTATTTGTTAAAAGAGAAATACTCTTTTACTCCCACCTTCTTCCCCCAAATAAAGAGAATAAGAGAATACCCCCACCAAATAAGAGAATACCCTCAACCTTCTTCCCCCAAATAAAGTTAACCTGAAATATCCTATTTAGCTCAGAATAGGCTATGTGACCACGGGTATGACTGAAGAGTTGGGAGATGGGCGCCTGAGTGGCTCAGTTGGCTAAGCTAAGCATCTGCCTTGGGCTCAGGTCATGATCTCAGGCTCCCTGCTCAGCGGGGAGTCTGCTTCTTCCTCTCCCTCTCCCCCCCAAGTAAATAAATAAAATCTTGAAAAAAAAATGTTGGGAGAAATCTTACCCATGTTCCAGTATTCCTTCTCCACTGTTTTGATCATTCCACAAGGACTGTGAAGGCTTCGGGATTAACGTACAGGAAGAGGTGGGAATCCAGTGTGAGGGGGAGCACGAGGGAACATTTCTTTTTTTTTTTTTTTAAAGATTTATTTATTTGACAGAGAGAGACACAGTGAGAGAGGGAACACAAGCAGGGGGAGTGGGAGAGGGAGAAGTGGGCTTCCCGCCGAGCAGGGAGCCCGAGGCGGGACTCGATCCCAGGCCCCTGGGATCACGACCCGAGCTGAAGGCAGACGCTTAACCGACTGAGCCACCCAGGCGCCCCACGAGGGAACGTTTCTTGATGCTGTATTTGCACAGCAAGCAGATATTCCCCCCACACATACAAATACACACACACCCTTCCAATATCCAAATGTCCAGTACGTTTTTGGGAAAGCCTGATTTCAGATTCTTGAAGCAAGACAGCTGCAGATTTATTTCAGATGGCTTTAAAGGGGCTATTCGTTTCCCTCAACTGCTTCGGGTTTTGGATGGGGGAAAAAAATCAAAACTTCGCTATGTATTCTGGTCCAGAGGATTTTACCAATACTCCTATTTTCTCACCTCATTTGGGCTCCAAATCCCCAGCCCATCCCCTCATAGAGCCTCAGTCTCAGGCCACCTGGACATCTGGGGCTGCCTGAAGTTGGATCCTTAGCTGGAAATGAAGGACACAATGGGCTGGAAATGAGGCGTATGGCTTTCCCTTACCCTCAGCAGGCCTGATGCCATCGAAGTATGTGCTAATCCAGACTCTTCCTTCTAAGGGCTGAGGGCTCAACAGCCAGGGATGAGAGAGAAGAAAAGTGAAGGGAAAGGAGTAGGGGCTACTCAGCTTGCTAGAGAATTTCCCTCCAGGATTCTGGGGTAGTTGGGCCTCCCTATTGCTTTCAAAACTTTTATTTATTTTTAAAGATTTTATTTATTTATTTATTTAAGATTTTTATTTATTTATTTATTTATTTGACAGAGACAGAGACAGCGAGAGCAGGAACACAAGCAGGGGGAGTGGGAGAGGGAGAAGCAGGCTTCCCGCTGAGCCAGGAGCCCGATGTGGGACTCGATCCCAGGACCC